TCTATAGAATAGACTATGGTCTGATCTATAGAATAGATTATAGTATCAGCTATAGAATAGACTATGTCAGATCTATGGAATAGACTATAGTCTGATTTATAGAATAGATCTACTATAGCCTGAAATATAGAATATACTATAGTCTGATCTATAGAATAGACTATAGTCTAATCAATAGAATCTATAATCGGAACTGTAGAATAGACTCTAATCTGAACTATAGAATGTGCTGTAGTCTGATTTATAGAATGGACTATAGTTTGATCTATAGAATAAAGCATAGTCTTATTTATAGAGTAGAATATAGTTTTATCTATAGAGTAGAATATAGTCTGATCTATAGAATAGACTATCGTCTGATCTATAGAATAGACTATAGTCTGATCTATAGAATAGACTATAGTCTGATCTATAGAATAGACTATAGTCTGATCTAGTGAATAGACTATAGTCTGATCTATAGAATAGACTATAGTCTGATGTATAGAATAGACTATAGTATGAGCTATAGAATAGTCTATAGTCAGATCTATAGAATAGACTATAGTCTGATCTATAGAATAGACTATAGTCTGATCTATAGAATAGATCTACTATAGCCTGATATATAGAATATACTATAGTCTGATCTATAGAATAGACTATAGTCTAATCAATAGAATCTATAATCGGAACTGTAGAATAGACTCTAATCTGAACTATAGAATGTGCTGTAGTCTGATTTATAGAATGGACTATAGTTTGATCTATAGAATAAAGCATAGTCTTATCTATAGAGTAGAATATAGTTTTATCTATAGAGTAGAATATAGTCTGATCTATAGAATAGACTATAGTATGATCTATAAAATAGACTATAGTCTGATCTGTAAAATAGACTATGGTCTGATCTATAGAATAGACTATAGTCTGATCTATAGAATAGACTATAGTCTGATCTATAGAATAGACTATAGTCTGATCTATAGAATAGACTACAGTCTGATCTATAGAATAGACTATAGTCTGATCTATAGAATAAACTATAGTCTGATCTATAGAAAATACTATATAGACTTTCTATAGAATAGACCACAGTGTGATCTATGGAATTGACTATAGTCTGATCAATAGAGTTGACTATAGTCTGGTATGTAGAATGGACTATAGTATGAATTATAGAATAGACCCTAGTTTAATCCATAAAATAAACCATAGTTTGGTCTATAGAATAAACTATAGTCGCACCTTAAGAACAGACTGCAGCTTGACCTGTAGAATAAACTATAGTTTAATCAATAGAATAAACTATGGCTCGAATCATTGAAAGTAGTATAGTTTTATCTCTGGAATAGATTGTAGTCTGGATTATAGACAGCCTAATTCCAATTTAAGATGAAAGATATTTATAATGTTTTTATGACTAAGAGTTATTAAAACAAATATTAAAAAAATTACAAAATAACTCATTTCATTATAAACTAATCAAATGCATTTCTCTTCTTTTTTTTGTGAGCAATTATTAATTACAAATAAATAAAGATAAACTACAAATCAATTAACAACGAAATAACTTTATTATAAATCATTATAATAACAATAAATACCAATAAACCACCACAAAGACTTTTCAACAACAATAAAGAAGGAAACCAAACAGTAAAGGAAAACAGAAAAAGATTGAAAGAAAGATGGTGTCTTTAATGTTGTTATACTCCACTTCATCATTTTTATAAAACATAAAATCAATCTGCATTTAATTACGGACTTATTGCTTCCGCATTTTGTTTATATTAGAACTTTATAAAACTCTAATGTTTTTTTTCCTTTTTTTTCCTAGAGATATTACACAGCACAAAGTCTTTTTTTATCTCTGGACACAATATGTTTTGTTAGAAAATAAAAGAGAATATTGCCAAGAAAACGGGTAATTAGATAGAAAAATATCAGTATTAAAGTAGCAGCTACATTTCACTGTAATCAACTGACAACATTGAACTAGTTTTTGATGGAAACATACATAATTTTCTATATTTTTTTTGCTCTTTACAGTGGCTGGTTGTTTGTTGATTTCTTTTCAAACTTGATTAAAACTAACAATAGTTTTTATAATCAACGGAAAGCTTTAACAGAGGATGGATGGATAGATATATTGTGGGATGGAGTATACAATAAATGGGATTATTATGGGTTTCAAAATACTACACGTACAAAAGAATGGTGGTGGTCATCAATCAAATTGTTTGGAAAATGAATTGTATTTGTAGGAATTTAAAGAGATTTGAAATAAAAGACAGCAGGCTGAAAATAAATTGACAAATATCCATTATAGTCAGAGAAGAATATAAATGAAGATGATTTTGTCTAAGTAAGAATTTGAAATCATCAATATAATAGCGGGATACTGAAAAACTATTTGAAATTTAATAGTAGTATTGAAATGATGGTGGAAAACCGGAAGTAACATTGTAATGATATGACATTTATGTTTGTCAGTTATTAAAAGAATCAACAGTGATCATCGAGGTAATTATATTCAATGATTATATTCATTACATCATATACATAGATTACCAGTGTTAATATTGATCACAAGTGATCATATTAATCAACAGTGATCATAATGATCATCAGTAATCATAATGATCTTCAGGGATCATTAGTAATCACATTGATCACTTGTGATCATCTGTAATCATATTGATCACTAGTGATCATAATAATCACTCAGCACCCGTATTGATTATAGTGATCCTCGGTAATCATATGATCACCAGTGATCATATTAATCAACAGTAATCAAAACGATCATAATAATCATCAGTGATAATAATGATCATCAGTGATCACTAGTGATCATAGTAATTACTCAGTAACCATAGTGATTATAGTGATCCTCGGTAATAATAGTGAACATGTTAGTCAACAATGATCACTATGATCATCTGTGATCACAATGATCTTCAGGGATCATCAGTAATCACATTGATCACTCGTGATCATCAGTAATCATATTGATCACTAGTGATCATAGTAATCATTCAGTAACCATAGTGATCCTCGCTAATCATATGATCACCAGTGATCATATTAATCAACAGTGATTATAATAATCATCAGTGATCATAATAATCATCAGTGATAATAATGATCATCAGTGATCATAATGATCATCGGTGATCATAATGATCTTCAGGGATTATCAGTAATCACATGGAACACTAGTGATTGATAACTAAAGATCACAATGATCATATTGATCACTAGTGATCATAGTAATCACTCAGTAACCATAATGATTATAGTGATCCTCGGTAATAATAGTGATCATGATAACCTGTGATCATATTAATCACCAGTGATCGTTAAGATCACAAGAAATCATTGTGATTGATGATGATATTGAACACCAATGAACAAAGTGATCATTGTGATATCTAGTAACCATAGTTATCACCAGGGAACAAAGTAACCATATTCATCACAATTGATCACACTGAACCTCAGTAATCACCTCTGTAGTTTTCTAAACAAATTCTTTTGTTTAAAATGAAACATGATTTTTTAATTAAACTTCATTTCAAAGCAATTTTCAAAATTCCCCTCCCTCGTCTTAAACTTTTAAAATATTTCAAATATTTCATTGTTCTAAACTAAAACAACAGTTAAATAAAAATTATCTCGATTACCAAAGCCTTAAGATTATTTAAAAGAGATTTTAACGGAATTAAAATTACTGTTGAAAAAAGCAAACATTTAGAATGTTTTAGAATTTGTATCTAAATACTTGAAATAAATAGTTTGATATTTAAGGCAATTGTTTCTTTAGTTATTTACTTAAAGAGTTGAATGTACTGTTTTTTTGTTTTCTAAGTTCTAGATAAAAAATGCATTAAATTTTAGAATAAACATTGTAAGACGGCATGGGTAAGAAAATGCAAATACAAATAGTACGTAAATGTAAATGTTTATAGAGTAGAATAGTTATAAAATGAATGAATGAAAATAGCGTGGGTGCGATAAGATAATAATGCTAAGAACAATTTGTAGTGCTACTGCTGGTAAGCGGAGCTGAGTTGGTTTATTAAAAGGTTAGTGACAAGTTATATTTTGTTATGTTTAACCAGAAAAATTCTTATTTTTGACATGTTTTGAACATATTTGATCAATACGATCAAAAGTAATATGGGTGATCAAGAGCAAGATCAAGTGTTTACCTGCGATCTAAGTGCGATCAACATTCTTAATAGTGAACATTAGTGATCAGCAGCCTTAAAAGTAATCATATTGATCATAGGTGAAAGCTACGATCACTCATTATCAGAAATCATGTTGATTACCAATTACCACACGAGAAAATAGGACTCAACAGTGATCAGTGTGATTATAGTGATTTCCAGTAAGCATTTCTGACCAAAGTTATCCCTGAGGATCATAATAATCACCAGTGATTATTACTGATTATTCAGATCATGAGTGATCATAGTCATATTTATAGTCACGACATCTTATTATAAAGTTTGTTGTCAAATGTAGTCAAAATCGTTGATGCTACCACTTCTTAACATGTAGGGTTCGATTCCAAATAAAACAGTTTAAGATACATAAGCAATGATTATGTATTAAAGAAGAAGTCGAGAAAAAATAACTAAACCAAGAAGCAAAAAAAAAGTCAAGAAAACCACCCACCCACCTATGTGGATAAAAAATGTACAATAAGATCGTAATTCAACAATAAGAACAACATCTCAAAACAAAAAGCACTAAAGAATTAGAATAAACAAAAAAAAAAATATTTTAATTGATATTTAACATTCGGCATGTAAACAACATAGCATTGTTTTAATGTTAAAGAAAAATATAATAAAACTTGTTGAAAATATGTTTTACAACGTTAAAACCACAATGAATGGATTTGTGTTTTTTTCTTCAAGTTGTTGTTTAAAGTTAGAAAATATGAAAAAAAAAAATGAATAGAAATAGTTTTAAACATACAAAAGTTATTATGAATTTAAACTTACCTCAGGCACGGTAACCTCATAAGGTGTGTTCATGAATCGAGGTGCATTATCATTAACATCAGACACGCGCACTATAATCGGTATATTGCGGCGTTTAAGAGAGGAACGTATGGTGCAGGAAACCTGTAAGAAAATTAAATAAATTTCAATTTATTTTTCTTTCATAATACAGAAAAGGGGAATGAGGGCTCTTAAATATCACTCAATAGACTTGTCATTAAAACTCATTAAGATTTGTAGTTTAACACTTCCTTTTTGGAGCTTTTTTTCTTTAAGATTTCTTTCCATAATTTATGGACACCCCTTTACTGCTGTTTGCTACAGGTAGGTAGGTTTGATCTTAAGATGGTGTTTGCAAAGGAAATTGCATTTATTAAATGCCCCTAAACATCTTTATTGTGATTAAAAGCAGTAAAGGAAGTTAACTGTAGGACTGAGATGGAATGTTAAGGTACTTAATAATAATTAGCTGTAGTGTCAATTGGAAATAAAATTAATAAATCTTGAGTTATTTAGAGATATAAGAAAACATAATTGGAGCAGTTTTGTTATACAAAATTCTTGTGAAGAATGACTCGTCATGACGTTAGAGTAATTAAAAATTCATGTTAAGAAAGCTTTACTAAGTGAAAAAAGCTCTTTATATATGCAAAAAAAGTTAAAATGCAAAAAGCTTTTTTTATGTGGAAAAAGCTTTCTTATGTAAAAAGCTTTTTATGTAGACAAAGCTATATTATACAAAAAGCTTTTTATATGGAAAAATCTAAAGCTTTTTATATGGAATAAACTCTTCTTAAGAAAGCTTTTTGAAGTGGAAAAAATTGTTTATGGAAAAACATTTTTATAATGTGGAAATACATTTTGTATGAAAAAAGCTCTTTTATTATGCAAAAAGCTTTTTATGTGGAAAAATCTATCTTATGCAAAAAATTATCACTGCTAGAAAAGCTCTTTTATGTGAAAAAAAAATTTTTTCTAGAGAAAAAGCTTTTTTATGCGGGTACAAGCTCTGTTTTAAAAAAAATTATAATTTATCAGATAATTATATTTATTACTTACTTGAAAAACAATATGACTTAAATTTTCTTCATCTCTATCCAGTGGTTGCAGCAGCTGTAGTTTTTTGCCATTTAATAGAAATATAGGATTACCCTTAGGAAAGACTAGATCTAAGGCAATTTCCGTAAAGGGATCACCAAATATGGGTAATTCAGGCGGATTTGTTTGTTGGCCAATGTCTACAAAAAAAGAATATAAAACAAAATAACATTAATTCATTAGAATTTTAGCATTTTACTTAAGTATAACCGTTAACTTAACAGCCTTTCACTTTAACGGTCTTTAGCATAACTTCGCTAATAATCTAATAACAAAAAAAAAAAACTAATAAAAAACTCAAATAAACTTAAACTCCTTTAAAAACATTTGTCTAGCTTCTATTTTTATGTCTCTAAATTTTTCAAAAAAAAAAAAAGAAAAGAAATTCAAACTACAATTGTCGTTTAAGCGCAAAAAAAATGAGGGAACAAAATAAGGATGTTATCGTTTTACAATTGCTTTTAATAGCATCTCGAATACCAATTGCTTTTGGCTGGTTGGGGCAGTAGTGGTCTTCTTAACTAAGAATAGTAATATTTACATTTTAATGCTTTTTATAGTCTCATGCATAATAAAACTTGCTGCTACATCCAAGTCATTAGATTATTAACTACTTTTTACTAATACATTTTTGTGGCATTTTTTCCAGCTTCTCTATGTAAGTTAATTGTGTTTGAAAAAAAAGTTTATCTGTTTTCTTTTTTTGCTTTCTGTTTTATAGTCTGTGTCTGGCATAATTTCCAAACTAATTTTGCTATAGAATTGGTAGCAAGTTTTAATTTGCCGGTTTTTCGGATTGTGTTTACATATTTAGTTGGCAGTAAAAATTGTTAAATAAATATCTGCTTTGAAATAGAAGCTTTAAATTGTAAATTTAAGGAATATTTTCTATTTTTTCTATAAAAAAAACTTCTAAAATAAGAGAAATTGGAACATTTTTTCTTAAAAGATAATTTTTCGAAAAATTTCTATAAAACGAGAATTTTTTTAATTTTCAATCAATAAACTTTTTTAAACTTTTCATAAGAAAGAAACTTTTCGAAAATTTTTTATACAAAAATATCTTAAAAAAAAAAAATAAAAGAATTTTCCAATTTTGCTATAGAATATAGTCTCTACAATAACATAGTATATTGTCTCAACTATAGAATAGTCTATAGTCTGGCCAATACTAATAGTCTATAGTGTGGACTATAGAATATTATTTATTATTAAATTCTTAAAATTTTACAAAAATTGTTTTCATTTTACAAAAATTACTTAAATTAGACCTAAGCTATAAGCTTGACTGCAGACTAGTCTGGACTATAGAATTGTCTATAGTCTGGACTATAGAATAGTCTATAGTCTGGACTATAGAATAGTCTATAGTCTGGACTATAGAATAGTCTATAGTCTGGACTATAGAATAGTCTATAGTCTGGACTATAGAATAGTCTATAGTCTGGACTATAGAATAGTCTATATTCTGAACTATAGAATAGTCTATAGTCTGGACTATAGAATAGTCTATAGTCTGGACTATAGAATAGTCCATAGACTGGACTATAGAATAGTCTTTACTCTGGACTATAGAATAGTCTTTACTCTGGACTATAGAATAGTCTATAGTCTGGACTATAGAATAGTCTATAGTCTGGACTATAGAATAGTCTATAGTCTGGACTATAGAATAGTCTATAGTCTGGACTATAGAATAGCCTATAGTCTGGACTATAGAATAGTCTATATACTGAACTATAGAATAGTCTATAGTCTGGACTATAGAATATCCTATAGTCTGGACTATAGAATAGTCTACATTCTGAACTATAGAATAGTCTACAGTCTGGACTATAGAATAGCCTATAGTCTGGACTATAGAATAGTCTATATTCTGAACTATAGAATAGTCTATAGTCTGGACTATAGAATTGTCTATAGTCTGGACTATAGAATAGTCTATAGTCTGGACTATAGAATAGTCTATAGTCTGGACTATAGAATAGTCTATAGTCTGGACTATAGAATAGTCTATAGTCTGGACTATAGAATAGTCTATAGTCTGGACTATAGAATAGTCTATAGTCTGGACTATAGAATAGTCTATAGTCTGGACTATAGAATAGTCTATAGTCTGGACTATAGAATAGTCTATAGTCTGGACTATAGAATAGTCTATAGTCTGGACTATAGAATAGTCTATAGTCTGGACTATAGAATAGTCTATAGTCTGGACTATAGAATAGTCTATATTCTGGACTATAGAATAGTCTATAGTCTGGACTATAGAATAGTCTATAGTCTGGACTATAGAATAGTCTATAGTCTGGACTATAGAATAGTCTTTACTTTGGACTATAAAATAGTCTATAGTCTGGACTGTAGAATAGTCTATAGTATGGAGTATAGAATTGTCTATAGTCTGGACTATAGAATAGTCTATAGTCTGGACTATAGAATAGTCTATAGTCTGGACTATAGAATAGTCTATATACTGGACTATAGAATAGTCTATAGTCTGGACTATAGAATATTCTATAGTCTGGACTATAGAATAGTCTTTACTTTGGACTATAAAATAGTCTATAGTCTGGACTGTAGAATAGTCTATAGTATGGACTGTAGAATAGTCTATAGTATGGAGTATAGCATAGTCTATAGTCTGGACTATAGAATACCCTATAGTCTGGACTATAGAATAGTCTATAGTCTGGGCTAAAGAATTGTCTATAGTCTGGATTACAGAATAGTCTATAGTCTGCACTATAGAATAGTCTATAGTCTGGACTATAGAGTAGTCTATAGTCTGGACTATAGAATAGTCTATAGTCTGGACTATAGAATAGTCTATAGTCTGGACTATAGAATAGTCTATAGTCTGGACTATAGAATAGTCTATAGTCTGGACTAAAGAATAGTCTTTACTCTGGACTATAAAATAGTCTATAGTCTGGACTGTAGAATAGTCTATAGTATGGACTATAGAATAGCCTATAGCCTAGACAATAGAATAGTCTATAGCCGAGACTTTAGAATAGTCCATTGTCTGGACTTTAGAATAATCTTTAGTTTTGACTATAGAATTGCCTATAGGACTTAAGAATAATCTATAGTCTGGAATATATAATAGTCTATACTCTGGCTTATAATATCATCTATAGTTCTGGACTATAGTCTATAGTCTCTAAATCTACTCTAGTACACACTATGGAATATATTCTAATTAACTATCCGAATTAACTATAAAGAAAATAGATGCAAAACTTTTTAGAAAACATTCTTTTTTCCTAAGACATTGTGAAATTTAATACATATATGTAATTCTTCCTAATTAAGCTCAAAACATAAAACAATCTTAATAAATAATTCAAAACTGCAAATGAAAAAAACACATCCTTACACGTGCAGACACACAATGTCAATCAGAGAATGTAAAAGTACAAAATGACAAAAAAGAAAATCACGTATAAAATTTCAACATAAAAGTAAATGACACTGAAATGGCAAGAGAAAAAAAGTATAAATAAATGGACAATGTACAACCCAATGAACTGTAAACAAAATTTCATTTAACATTATTTAAACTAAGGAAATTTTCTGAACCAAATAGAGTTACAAACCCTACACAATCTATATTTAATCAAGCGGCAAAAAACCACAACACATTAACCTCTACACGCACATAAGGCAGCCATGGGTACATACATATTTTTTGCAAATATGTTAACATGTTCGTAACAATAAACCAAAACAATTTTGAAATTAAAACAAAACTGACATTGTCTTAAGCTGCTTCACACCTTGGTATAAGTATCATGTATGTGTGTGTGTTGCCCATCACTGTCATTTGTTAGTTATTCTTGACATTGACTTCAAAACTACAAGATATTTCGTAGTACAAGAAGTTCTATATTGACCGTATTCTTCTGCTATTTTGTTTTAGCGTGAAAGTAATGAAAATTTACAACACGAAACTTTGAAATAATTCTTCCAACACTACGCATTTGCATAAGTATACTTTGTGTCTTTTGAGTTTTCATATTTACTCTTAAAGATGTTATGCGTCTAATAAGATTTTATAGTACTGGTCTTAGCTTGGTTTGAACACAAATTGAAATTTGTTTTTATTTTTCTTGGTTTTTTCAATTTAAAACAAAATCATATTTTAAGTTAAGCTTTTGAACGGTAATGCTGTTTGTAAATATGTATGTCTATCATGTTGGACGCATTGTCTTTTTGATTTTAGCCAATGTTCAAACACAATCGGGTGTCCAAAGATATAAACATAAATAAATGTTTACACACACGTCTGTACTCTTGGTTAGTTTTCCTTTTTCATTTGCAAATGTATTTTTGCGGTAATTTTCTTAAACTTATCAAGACTGTTTAAAATTTCTAAGATATTTACCAAGGCTCCTAGAAGAGATGCAGACATTTGCGTTCATAAAGGGGAAGGTGTTCTCCAATTGACTAGAAAATAAAGTCTAGAGTCTAAAATATAATGAGGACTGTAGTGTAGTCTATTGTCATTACTACAGGCTAGTCTATAGTCAGGACTATACTCTTGTCTACAGTCAGAACTGTAGTCTAGTCTAAAGTCAGGACTGCAGTCTAGTCTCTAGTCTAGTCTATGGTCTAGTCTAAAACTAGTCTATAGTCAGGACTACTGTCTAGTCTATAGTAGGGACTATAGTCTAGTCTATAGTCAGAACTAAAGTCTAGTCTATAGTCAGGACTATAGTCTAGTCTATATAGGGACTATAGTCTAGTCTATAGTCAGGACTTTATTCTTTTCTATAGTCAGGATAGTCAAGTGTCAGGACTAAAACTATTCTATGGTCTAGTCTATAGTCAGGACTGTAGTCTAGTCTACAGTCAGGACTATAGTCTAGTCTATAGTCAGGATTGTAGTCTAGTCTAGAGTCGGGACTATAGTCTAGTCTATAGTCAGAACTGTAGTCTAGTCTAAAGTCAGGACTGCAGTCTAGTCTCTAGTCTAGTCTATGGTCTAGTCTAAAACTAGTCTATAGTCAGGACTACTGTCTAGTCTATAGTAGGGACTATAGTCTAGTCTATAGTCAGAACTAAAGTCTAGTCTATAGTCAGGACTATAGTCTAGTCTATATAGGGACTATAGTCTAGTCTATAGTCAGGACTT